TTATTCCATCACTTCTTCGGATTATTTATTTTTAATCAATCTATATTCATGTGAAGTGTAGCTCATCTGCATTTTTCTTTCCCTGGAACCTAAATGTATATTATGAGTTTGAATCCATCAGAAACTAAGTCAGTCAAAATCAAATTTAACTACATACGAAGTGAAAACGATTTGTATTTCGCAAATCAAAGTGATAGTTAAAGCAACCTAACTGTGTCAGAAATGTTCCCAAATTACTAGGTAAGGCTTTTATCAGCTCATCATCTGATCCAATAATTTTAATTGTGGCATTTCATTCGGCATGTCGCCGCACGACTTCTATGATACTCAAAGTCTCACATATATAATTTGAAAGGGGGGGTCTGGGGGGGCGGCGCCCCCTCAGCAGGTAGCTTTTGCTACTTGTTTACAATTGTTAAGATTTTTTTTATTAAAGAAAAAAAACACCAATTTTGGATTCACACATTATTTAACAGGGAGTAGACCGCTTGCACCTCGACTAATTTATTGCACTTATAATTGGATTTGGTATGTACATATCAACATGCCCTCGTAATGTTAATTTTCCTAGAGATTCCATACAGACTTTGATAGAGATTCGAGATTCCTCGCATTAGATAAGTGATATGTAGCCCAGTTAGCGTAACATAGACACCCACTCAGGTAAAGAATTCAATGTTTTAATATCACTAACCCTTATTTTAACTTTCTCACAGGATTGTGTGTGATTCATGGATTCAGCTTAAATTTCCTCTTCCTGAAGCAGCTGAAATATTTGTATTGAAGGCCATAAAGTTGCGCCTCAGGTGGGAGGAGCTACTAAAGCTTAGATTAGAAAGTAAGTATTTATCTTGGTTATGACTGTTTGAAAGCACCTAGTTTTAAAATTCGAAGAAATGAACTAATTTAGTTCTTCAAAGTAGAATCCCTCAAAGTTTCAATTCGTATTTAGCATCTGAAAATACTTTTGAAATACTCTTCAAACTGAGTTCTGTAAATATTGCTGTACCAAGTTTCTCTTTACCTGAAATGACTGTTGAGTTGACTGGTCGCTTGCATTAAAATTGCAGTAAAACGAGAATGAATCATTTCCCCACGGTCAATTAAAGTGTCGTAGTTTTAGAATTTCATGAAGAAACACCTCGACTAGATTTTTAAAATTGTTGAGAAGTGGCTAATTTGCTCCCCTGCCCCCCTAATTATTAGGCAGGGCTGAATTTTTATCCAAGTATCAAGGGCATTTAGTACAACATCTGAGAAAAAGTTGGGTCAAAACTATTGAGGGCAGACGTCTTTGGAACAACCTATTTTGTGCTCTTTAAATTGAGGATCATTCGAATTGTCGTATTGCAAATGTCGATTTTAGTCAGTTTTGTTCACAAAGAAATTTTGAGTTCACTGGTAAATTGAATTTAATATAGAGTTAAAAAGTCATTCCGAATTATCGAAGAACTTGGAAAGTCATTTTGTACCATCAGAAAGAACTTCAAAAAGTGAAGGAAACTGAATGAAGTCAGAAAACAGAAAAAATGCAGATTTGATCAGAAGCACTTTTTCTATAACTGTGCAAAGTTATTCAATTCATATGCTCCGAGCTTTCAAAGCTTTTTCCGTGTTCGATCATATAACCTAAATGTGTTTTTCTGCAGCTCAAAACTGGTCAGGCAATCTTTTAAACGCATCCTTAATCAAATTGCTAACCATTCGGCATCAAAAGTTCCTTTGCCATTTTCAGAACTTATTTATTAATTTTAAATGCTCATCAACCCTGTATCCTGATTTTTATTGTATTATTGTGCAGAGCGTAATTGTGCAGCTATAGAGCAGACAATGTGTCAGGATCTAGTCAAGTTCATGACCATTGACATTGGTTATTCGATTCAACGCATTTTACCTGCAACCTTGAAAACCATATACGTGAAATCCAGTCACAGCGCCATCAGTGGCATTAATCCAATTAATCCCGACTTTGAAATTACAGAAAATGTAAAATATGGAGGCTATGATCTGTGTTCATTTCTAGTATACGACTGGTGAGTACTGAGCTCTTTTATTTGCCCATGTTTCTAGTTAAAATGATTGATGCTTCCACTAGATTAAAAGTATTTACTTGCTACTTTTTCCTAATTTTCTCAGTATTACCACTTACCATGTGAAATAACAATGCAGTGAAAATAATCAAACTCAATGTTACTGTAGCATTCGGTCCACTCTTCAGTTAGGAAAGTCAGAACTTAAATACCTGGTATTTGTATGGAGCAAAGAATGTCATCTTGCTGTTTTCAAATTATTAATGGAGCTTTTGCATACCAGAAAGATTTTCCACTGGGAATCCACCTCTATAACTAGTCACTCTCTCTATGCAAAGACTGAATGAGAATACGTATTCAGTATTGCCCTGGCTTCTTAAAATGCCAATCTTGCTAATGTTTTCACTTCCTATGTGTGCATGGAAAGGAGTGTGGTCCTTATTTTCAATTTTTTGATATCTAAACGGATAAATTCCTAAAAATTTTAGAAACTAAGTAGAAATGTTGGAACATGTTGGGTTGAACAGTGATATACAGTGATAATATTATTGAGAATATTCAGACTGATCCAGATGGCCCGCGGAATGTACTGCCTGATAGGTGCTGTGCTCTTAGAAATATTGACAGTAGTATTGCTCTTGTTCGATGTTACTGATCGTAGATGATTACCGATGCTATATTGTTTTGATAACAGCTCATATTTTATGTGTCACTCTGATGTTATTTATGATTTTGTAGTTATAATTGTCTCCGTAATTATGTAACTAAAATTGTTTTGTTTGTATATTTGCCTTGATGATGGTTCCGTGTAACCGAAAGGCTCATTTTTGTGAGTTTTGAATTTTGGAATTTTCTTGATTTTTTTTCTCTTTTATTCAGCTTGTAACTTTCCTAGCTTTCAATTTTTCTATTTTGAATTTTCCCATCAGTTTAGAAAATGATGTTATGATGGAGTGGGATTCCTGGACGTGTGGCTCATGTGGATTAACAGCTGCTCTATCATCTTTTGAAAAGCTTCAACACAAAGTAACTTGCGCTCCAGAGAGTCAGCTTGATGGTGAGCCCTTTTGTCTCTAAATATTTTTCAAAGAACTTCAAGTGAATGCGCTCTATTTTTATACATAAGGACGCTTGTTATCCAAGACTTGCGCCTAATCAGCTATGGGTCAAGAAACCGCATCCTCAGGGGGTAAATTTTTTGGGATGACAATAAATCCAAAATGATTATTAGCAAAATGGAATTTTTCAGTTTTGTCTAGGACAGTTTTGCCTCCAATAATCTTGAGCAGACATTCTTGCTGCGTTTGGATTGATATCCATAGAATCAAGGAATAAAGTTTTTGAGAGGCCAAGATTCCTGAAGAGAGTAGGGATAGAAAGCAACTCTAAATCTGTAATTCTCCTCTTGTGATATATTCATAGGAAGGTTGTGACAAAGAAAATGGTGGTTGTCTGCATCATATACTTAATGGNGGGGGGGGGGGGGGGGGGTGTATCATGTACCAGAAAAAATGAGGTACATATCAAGAAAGTTACCTCTTGCCAAGTTTTTCTTTTTTTTTTCCTTGTGATGTCATTTTCTTCTACCCTCTCCTTAAAAATTCCATTAATTGTTCTTTATTCATTCACTGTCTCTAATTTTTTAAAACCTCTCATTAAGATACCTTTTTTGTAACTCTGGCAACTTAGTTTTTTTTTTAAATTTTGCCTTCAATGTTAAGGTGACCTTACCAGTGATCGTATTTCCATATCCTATTTCCAAGTAATGCTGAAAGATATTCCTAAAACTCCTCATATCTTTTTTCTCATCTTGATTTTCTCTTTCATAAATGTTTCCAGAGGCAGAAAGCAGTACGTCTGTTGTTCGAAAAGCAAATGCCAAACAATACAAATGTGTTATATGCAACCAAGAACTGTATCTCACGCCTGTAGAAATTTTGAAGCATCAGAAAAGCCATTCTCAGTAAGACCTATACATTGTGATTTCAATCTCCTCCTAAAATTGTTAAGCTATATCCTACAATTTTAAGTACACAGTGGAATTGTAAATATGTATGTATTAAAAACGTTTCATAATGACCACTATATAATATTACATGTACATTACCTTTTTTCCAATTTCAGTCTTATTATTTTTGCTTTTCCTTGCAATTGATTCAGCCAAATATGGTGACTATCTTCAGTGCTTTATTTAATTTTGAATGCATTAAAACAACTAAAAACAACAACGCTAAAATAGTAAACAATAGTGTTCGCAAGAGAAAGCCATTCTTTGAAACTATTGCCATATCAGAATAACAATGCGTAGATAATATTTAAGTGTACTTTAAAGTATGATCTTGAAATTTTTTTCTCATATTTATATATGGTCGTAATCAAAGACAGAGTTGGAGGGATGAAAGATGTGCGGATGTGCCCTCTGATGTTTTGCAATGTTATCAATTTGCGTGTTCAATAATTCCTACCTAAGTGGCATATTTTGGTAATGTCACATTGTAGTAGGTCACTAGGTAAGCTTGATGAAAGTAATAGTTCAGAATAAAAATCGAATTCCTATTAGATTAAATAGGCTCACGTGATAATGGAAACTTACATACATCATGTTAATAATGATCTTCAGTTTTGGATTTCTTGAAAGTATCCAGTCTGAAGATCAAGTTTCTTCTTCAATAAAACCATACTTACTTTATCATTCTCCATATGAAAGAGGTTGTAATTCATAGTAAACAGGACTCTCTTTATTTCTGCAATAGTGCCATCTTTATCTTGCCTCTTCTTTTCATGTGCAGGAACAAAGAATACCTACTCTCAACCATGGAGTATAAGGAGAATACAGCTTTTAGCATTTAAATATTTGAGTAAAAAATTTGATAGGTACGCTCCCAGAGTATTAATTTAAATAAATTCATACAGCTGATCACTTTGCATCTGAGAAGTGGAAGTTGACAATTCATTTAAGATTTAATGAAAAGCATGTTCCTAAATTAACATATGAAGGAGGGGGAAAAGGGGGAGAATGAAAGGAAGAATAGATGAAGGTGGGAGAGAGAGATAAGAAAAAGAGGGAGAGAAAATCTTTCATTGCCCTTTATCTAAGAATTGTTTAGTTTGTAACAATCCATGGCCAAACAGCCACTAGCAACTAATATTGCTCTTGAGCTGCTCTCCCTGACTATAATAAACTTTTTGAAGGTAAATTGGTAAGAGAGGAAGATGCCACACTACTATAAATTAAGAAAATTAATATGTAACCAATTCTGAAGCGAAATGAATGTGGCCAGTCTGTGTCGAACATCAATAGAAGCTATAGCTGGAATAACCACCCATAGCGGGAAACATGGTTGTGAAAAAATCGCATTTGAAGGTTTGATTATTTGATTTGGCTCTGAATTTGCACCGTAAGAAAACTGCAAAACATCTTTTTGTAATTGATCGTACCCTTTGAACTATCCGTTCTGCATTTTTGGAAAATATTTTAATTTTCACATTAAATTTGTTAATTGACAGCATGTTGTTAATATAGATGGTCATTTCACCTTCCACCTAGTCTCAGGGTAAAATTTCTGATTAATTGTTCAATAAATAAAATTGATGCTATGTAACAATCATAGAATGTCATTAAACACAGATCAATGGTCCTGTGTCATTGATGAAGCAAGTGATTGCATTAATAGACAGAAAAACACCGGTGTGTATGGGTACGCGTTTATAGGTGGTTATTCCACCTAACACCAAGTTTCAAGATAAAATGCCTTAATTTATTGAAAACACAAATTAATGTTTTGTAACTGTCATACAACATGAAGTGACGTTTATGGGCGAAAAAACACAGGTACTTGTATACGTGGTTATTCCATGTACTAACCACCTGGTCTGACCTCACTGCTCCAAAATTTAATTTTTTAGTCGAGTAATTAAGGGATCAACTTGCCATCAGAAGAACACAACAATTTGAATGGACAGGGAGGCAGAATAACCACCTATACTCGTATACTGTATGGTTATTCGAGTGTAGGCCACAGTTGCTACTCTCGAGCTGCTAAAATTGCAAAGTCTAGTTGTTAAGGGCAAACTGATTAGTGCGCGGGACGCTGCACAGAGGGCCAGNGCTCCAAAATTTAATTTTTTAGTCGAGTAATTAAGGGATCAACTTGCCATCAGAAGAACACAACAATTTGAATGGACAGGGAGGCAGAATAACCACCTATACTCGTATACTGTATGGTTATTCGAGTGTAGGCCACAGTTGCTACTCTCGAGCTGCTAAAATTGCAAAGTCTAGTTGTTAAGGGCAAACTGATTAGTGCGCGGGACGCTGCGCTGCTACTGCATGAGCAGTAATTAACGTCGCCCTGCTGCAAAAACCGCATTGACGTTCCGACGTCACGGCTTTGTCCCACTGTTTCGTACGACCTCAAGGCTGGCGATTTGTGATCGTCAACAGTTTCCAAAATTAAAATTTTTCCCGCCCTCTGGTCTACGAGAGCTCCACCAACCATGTGATTTCCCGCCCTCTGGTCTACGAGAGCTCCACCAATCGTGTGATTTCCCGCCCTCTGGTCTGCGAGGGGTCCACCAATCGTGTGATTTCCCGCCCTCAACGGTGATTGGTCGTTGCATTGAACTAGCAAAACGAAGCGGGAAATTTGCTGAGGCAGTGAAAATGAATGCAGCATTTTTCCGTACTATCGGATGCGAGTTGTGTGACCTCCTCAGAAATTAATCGTTCATAGTTTTCATCAACACGGCTTCGTGCCTTGAAAAACTCGCGAAAATTCGGGAAGTATGTCATAATATTTAAATTTTTCCCGCTTCCTAGTCAGCGAGTCAGATCCACCAATTTCGTACTTTCCCTCGCTCAACGGTGATTGGCCACGAAGCAAATCTGCCCAAGACGAACAATCGATTTGGTGACAAGCCCCTGTCCATCCCCAGAATCGATACATTTGCATACTTTTAAATGGGGAGGAAGCGAGCCTGCTCGTGACGAACAATAGATTGCGTTCTGAGTACCTGGCCGATACCAGAATCGATATATTTGCATAGTTGAATAAGGACACGAAGGGAACCCGCGCGTGACGAACTTTCGAATCATTGCGGAGGATCCGCTCGTTCCGAGATCGATATATTTGCATTGGTTTAAACAGAGAGAGAGGACTCTCCAGATGAATAATCAATTGTGTTCGGCGAACCGAGACACTCCGAGATCGATATATTTGCATAGATTCAAATGGACACGAAGTGAACATGCATGTGAGGAAGAATCTATTTGGTTACGAGCACCCGGCCATCCCGAGAATCGATACGTTTACATACCTTAAAAAGGGGGAGGAAGCGAGCCTGCTCGTGACGAACAATCCATTGCGTACCGAGTACCTGGCCGATCCCTTATTCGATATATTTACATAGTTGTAAAAGGGCACGAAGGGAGCACGCGCGTGACGAACAATCGATTCTATGCAGAGAATCCGCTCGTTCTGAGATCGATATATTTGCATAGGTTTAAACGGAGAAAGAGGACGCTCCAGATGAATAATAATCGATTGTGTTCAGCGAACCGAGGCACTCCGAGATCGATATATTTGCATAGTTTTAAATGGGCACGAAGGGAGCCCGTTTAATACTATGCAAATATATCGATTCTGGGAGCCCGCGCGTGATCGTGTTCGGCGAACCGAGGCTCTGCGAGATCGATATATTTGCATCGTTTTAAATTGTCACGAAGGGCCTACCCCATTTAAAACAATGCAAATTTATCGATTCTGGAAGCACGCGCGTAACGAACAATCGATTCTTTATGGAGGATCCGCTCGTTCCGAGATCGATAGGTTGTAACGGAAAGATGATGCTCCCGATGAATAATCGATCGTGTTCGGCGAACCAAGGCACTGCGAGTTCGATATATTTGCATTGATTCAAATGGACACGAAGTGAACATGCATGTGAGGAACAATCTATTTGGTTCCGAGTACCCGGCCATCCCCAGAATCGATGCATTTGCATACTTTTAAATGGAGAGGAAGCGAGCCTGCTCGTGACGAACAATAGATTGCGTTCTGAGCACCTGGCTGATACCAGAATCGATATATTTGCATAGTTGTAAAAGGGCACGAAGGGAACCCGCGCACGACGAACTTCCGATTCAATGCAGAGGATCCGCTCGTTCCGTAATCGATGTATTTGCATTGGTTTAAACGGAGAAAGAGGACGCTCGCATCGATCGTGTTCGGAGAACTGATGATGATTCCAAGATGCTTGGTGGCACATAGGAAATAGTTTAAGATCTGTGATTTCTAAATTTGCGCGGTTGGCAGCGGTATGTGAACGAGAGGGCAGATAACTCAGCACATGTTGAAAACCAGTGGACTCCTCGCCATAAATCTGCACCCCAGTAAAAGGGAGTCAGCCTGACGTCAGGCTGAGCCACTTTTACTAGGTGCAGAATTCCTTAAACTGTCAGAATTTCACTATCCAAGTAGCAATATAGAATTTTTTTCTAGAAAAAAAAAATATTAAGAAAATTTCTAGAAAAAACAGAGAAAATGAGATTTATCCAGAAAATAGATAGAAAAAACAGTGCGAGTCAAAAGTCTGACCAAAGAATATAGATTTATTTCAAAGGTCTACTTTCTGTCAACTTCCTACTTGGAAAAAAGATAGACAATTTATTGAAAATAGAATTATTGTCTTGCCAATTTCTCAATGTTCTCTTTTAAGAAAAAGCAAGGAAAAATTGTATTTTCTTTCTATTTTCTTGCGTCTATTTTCTAGATCTACTTTATACCTATTTTCTTTCAAGAAAATTGTTCTATCTAGAAAGTCGACATTTTCTTGATGAGCGCCACCTAGAAAGTAGATGGCAATGCTACTTAGGTACCTGCATAGGCATTCGATAAAATGCCTGATTTGACTAATCGCCCTCGACGGATATCCGTTGTTTTTGAAGATACGACTTCATTTGATTTTTTTTTCCTGCTGGTTTAATGGCTTCGTGTTCTAGCACTTCATTTGATTTTTGGCGCACCCAACAATTTGACAACTGGTGCATGGAGGATTAAATTTTAATCAGGGGAGGGAGGAGGACTCGTTGCGGCGCGGCGTTTCGCGTTCCGAGTTTT